CTCTCTCTCTCGCTCTCTCTCTCGCTCTCTATCTCTTGCTTTCGCTCTCTCTCCCTCTCGCTCTCCCTCTCGCGCTCTCTCTCTATCTCTTTCTATCTCTCTCTCGCTCTCTCTCGCTCTCTCTCTCGCTCTCTATCTCTTGCTTTCGCTCTCTCTCCCTCTCGCTCTCCCTCTCGCGCTCTCTCTCTATCTCTTTCTATCTCTCTCTCGCTCTCTCTCGCTCTCTCGCTGTCTCTCTACTCTCAGTGAACGAAACGCGGCGTTCGATTCGTCTTCCATGTTGGGACCCCCTTTATTACATCGAATATTCTATCAGCGACAGTGACGGTGATCACTCTCTAGATGTTTTACGATCTCAGTGTGACTCCTTCTACGTCGCTCTTTCTGGATTACCGTTGTTTTACTGGGGTCAACCCAGCCATAAAAGAATTATATCCCCCCCCCCAAGTACAGAGAGCCTGTGATCCGTTATGAGAAACACCGTAAATAGTTACGGCTATAACAAATCTAAAATGCCCATACCTTTTCACGACAGCATTTCATTTCAGAATTTCGACTTATGGTGTGGCATAACCATTCATGATGTTTCTGACGCCACGCTTCGAGTTTTTACCATGTCTTCTATTATTCGCTTACTTAGCTTAATACGTCTTTCACTATATCTTATATTATTCGTCTATTGACGAAATTTCTGTTGCGCCCTCTACGACCGTGATCAACATCGGCCTAGAGAGGTTTCGTAAATGGTTGGTAAGAATTCGTTGCGTACAAGGTGGTTGCGCAGGGCTTGCTACGTTGGTGGTTTCGTGCCAGGCTAGTAAAAAGAACTGCATACACACTCCCAATGTTACCACATTACGCATGTAAGCGTAACAATAAACTACAATGCCGTTGAAATTGTTAGGAAACCGACCAGCGCTCACGTATAAACCCTAAGCTCTACTGCTATTTGACTCACACATTAGGACCACACTAAGGCTAGAGTGTTCGCCTACATGCGATAATGGCGTATCGAATTAGTTTGCAGAACACATTGCGATTTATCAGTTCTATTCACGTTCTACCCAGACGCAGTTTCCTAGTCTTCTAATTGAATTGATCAATAGCTAATAAATATTTTCGTACTTACGTCTAAGCAGTATTTGGCATCAACAACTGTGACTATGCCTGCGAGAAAAACAAACAAGAACAGTATGAGATAGGACAACAGTGGCCTGAAATGGAAATGAATAAATCTTGGTCTAGACATAATTGTTTGCTGGAAAGAATTTCTATAAGATAATCAATTTGCCTTTATTTGAACTTCACGACATTTGAACACAGAAAATTCTGTTAAACCATGCGTTCGCAATTTATAGTGTTCTAACAGTTATAAATATTAATCAATCTAAAACCAACGTTAAGCAATATGGTTGTGTGGGTGTTCGAGGTATAGGAAGGCGAGGGGCAAGAATGTGGAGTGGAAATCCCCATGAAACACTGACATCAGTACGAATTATCGCATCCCGCAGGGAATAGCACAGATCTCCGGAAAAAAATTCCCACAAAGTACGAAAATTAATTCCAAACCTAGAAAAAAGCCCAAGAATCGGAAAAGAAGATTGTATCCAGAAGAAATGCCTAGACCGGGAAAAAAGACATAAGACGAGAAGAGAAACTTACACCGAGAAGAGAGACCTAGACCAAGCAGAGAGACATAAACCGAGAAGAGAGACATAGACCGAGAAGAGAGACATAGACCGAGAAGAGAGACATAGACCGAGAAGAGAGACATAGACCAAGCAGAGAGACCTAGACTGAGAATAGAGACCTAGACCAAGCAGAGAGACCTAGACCGAGAAGAGAGACCTAGACCAAGCAGAGAGACCTAGACCGAGAATAGAGACCTAGACCAAGCAGAGAGACACAGACCGAGAAGAGAGCCCTAGACCAAGCAGCGAGACATAGACCGAGAAGAGAGACCTAGACTAAAATGAGAGACATAGACCGAGAAAAGAAGTTAGGGGCCAGGAGAAAGAGAGAGAGAGAGAGAGAGAGAGAGAGAGAGAGAAGAAGAAGAAAGAGAGAGAGAGAGAGAGAGAGAGAGAGAGAGAGAGAGAAGAAGAGAGAAAGAGAGAGAGAGAGAGAGAGAGAGAGAGAGAAAGAGAGAG